TTCTTCATTTAGAGAATCTGCAGTTCTTCCTTCCTCACTATATCAACCTATCCCAATTGGAACTGGGATACGCAGAAGAGTGGCCTCTACTCAATCAGCTCTTCCGAATTCACAGGAACCTTCTGCTTCAGGGTACTACCCTATAACTTAAATTGATCTGATTCGCCAATTTAATTTCCAAACTAATGTCAAGCTAATGCAACGAACTCTTCATAATCAACCGTGTGTATTCGGGAATTCACTCTTACATCAACTGGTTGGCGACTTGTAAAAACTGTAGATTAGCACACATTCCAGTTATCAATTAATCTGGAATAAGAAATTTGGTGGGGGACAAGAGGTGGATAGATTTCTCGATCTCTTCTTATTAGTATGAAATGAACCGATTGCTACACCTATGTCAGAAGTAGTCAGTAAAATTACATCTGTCTTGTGAGTGATATGGCTGATCAACTTTATGATGGACTCGCATTCATCCACTCCAGATGTTATGGAATTCGTCAATGCTGGTGTTCATCTGCATTGCTAATTGTGCATCACCGATCAATGGCATAATTCGGTTAAGTCGAAAAATCCTCATTTAACATTTTCACTAAGACGTGTTGGTCCATAAGTGTAAACAAGTGGTTGTCAAAATCTATACTTTCATTCAATTTCAAGGTTTCTTGTATTACCTATCTACTTTTATCCACGTCTAGAACCACCAATGCTGAGGCGCGCAAATTGATTGCAACTTGTCGGTGTATCCGTATTCAGCGATTGGGGAAACGGAACTCAAAAACGAAGTCGGCTGTGATTCCATCTGCAGAAGAATTGAAGGCATACTTTCAGAAATTTGGAGTTGTGAAATTGGTTTTGTTCAAACCACCTGATCCAAATGGTTTCGTCTTATATTCTAACAAAACGGAGGCTCAAAATGCTCTGTCTGCACCATCTCATTCGGTGAATGGATGTTGTTTCAAGGTCTTGCCTGCCCGTCGAATTCCAATTGCTGTTATCTAATACGAAAAGTATATATACATAATTTAACATCAAAACATTTTCTAACACTAATTTGAAAATGCCAATTCCAATGTCAATCGATTAACGATAAATTATGCATCTCTCAAAATGCGAATAAATTTATTTATGATATGAATTAAAAATGTTGTCATTGAACTTGATCGGCTACAGTGTAGTTTAAGTTGTCGGCATTTATGCGGACTACCTTTTGCGAGATGTCGATGGGTTTTGGTCCGTAGATTTGACTTAATTAAACACGTTGTTGTTAATTCATTTCCAGTTTCGCAGATCGATAATATTTTGTTTTCGGGGGTTTTTGGGAGTGGTTTTGACATTCGTCACTTAAATATCAAAGATAAAGCGTCAACCGACTTCTGTTTTAAATAAATAAAGTAAGTATTTATATATTAACCAAATGGGGTTTGCGATAGACTTTCCTCCAAGTGGTGCACCTTGTGCAACATATGCTCATACGGCAAAAAAAGTCCATTAACGAGCAGTTGGCTTCTGACTTCAAACTACCATCACCCCACTGTATGTCATATTCGACCCCTTCCGCAGTACTCATCTTGCCTTTTCCCTGCCTTTGTGTCTGTCTGTCTCTTTTACATCTTTGAATCATACTTCTATTCCCCCTCTCCACTTTTCTCACTTTGATGTTCTTTTCCTCTAAAGGACTAATGATAAGTATCATAAAGCCCGACATTTGAAATAATCGTTTTGTGGAGGGTCCTTAAAGTAATGCCATTTTATTATCATTAATTTTATAGTTATCTTTCCAAACTCAAATTTGGCATGATGTCAGTGGTTAATTAAAAGTTATTTGATTTTGCTTAATTAGGTAAAACGTCTAATTACCGAGTCCCAAGATTCTGACTCATTCGATTTATCGAAAATTGCACCACCCGGTTACGCTAGGTTCTATTCTCTTTCAAGCCAAGTGATCATATTGGAAACTTATAATAGGCTGTGCACTGAGAATGGGAGAACATTGGGTTAAATTGGAGGTTGAAAAGGAAAAAAGGAGGGGAAGAATACCTGTGAAACAGGGGTTATGGGAGTACAAAAGTTGATTTGAACGATATGCCATTGAAGGTAAGTGAAAAAGCGCCGCAAAAATAAGAGGACTGAGTATAGTGAACTCATAATCTTATGTGTATGATAGGTATTAAGTATCCCAATTGCATACGTTTGGTGGATTCTTAGTGAAAACTGGCTCACGACTCTTGTTTCGGCATTCGATTACAACTTAATTCTCTGAAGGAGTTTATTTATTTATTTAATTATTTATATCAAATGGCAGGCGTTTTGATAATTATCATTAGCCCTGGAGCTGACTTTGAAGCTTCACAGAGAGGAGAAGGAACATCAAAGTGACAAAAAGTCGAGATGGAAGACAGAATAATGATTCACAGAGGTAAAAGAGACAGACAGACACAAAGGCATTAAAAAGGTAAGATGAGTACTGTGAAGGGGTCGAATATGGCAAATAGTCGGGCCTTAGAGGTTTGAAGTCAGAAGTCAAATGCCGGTTAATAGGCTTTTTTGCCGTATGAGTATACGTTGCCCAGAATGCACCACGTGGAGGTAAGTCTATTGCGCATCCCTTCCTTGTAGAAGTAGATTGGTTTTGTCAGTAGGGGAACGCTCTTGTTGGCGATATATATTTCGTGCTTATACATACGTAATAAAATTGACCCAAACTACTCAGAAAATATTTTTTCGTCTGTCACTGTCTGCCCATTCGCTTACTTAATTATTGCGTAGTTGTGGTTTCTAACCCCATGTTTGGAACTTTCAAGAATTCACCGCGTGACTTCGATGAAAATTCAATTAAACGAAATTCCTTACTCTTCAGCCAACGCGAAACTGATGAACTTGAAATTAGTGCAAATGCTTTCATTACAACCACTTTCTTAACACGAAATCACTTAATAGACAAATTGTTTACTCATCATTGCCCTAAGAAAGGGGGCTTACTTTGACATGATGGTAGATATTTTGAGGAACAACTTCATTAGTTTGACAAAATCGTTAAAAAATGAGACGACAGGTGATAAGGTACTCGCTGACACAATTTTTAAACGCGGAACCAGTTCTCTGTAGTTTATTACATGTGGATAAAAACAAAATTTTGATGAGAATGAAAGTGGCTCCAGTGATGGTTTACATAAATTTCAATGTCCACCGACTTCATCATCAAAAGTGAAAAAAGTCGAGAGGGGGAGGCTAACAGAACATTGTTTCAAAGATGTAAAAGAGACAGACACAAAGAAAAAAAGTGATGCGAGTACGATGGATGTGGTAGAATATGACAAACAGTGGGGTGATGGGAGTCAACTACCGATTCATAGACTTTTTTGACGTATGAGTATACGCTGCCCAGGGTGCACCACGTGGAGGTAAGTCTATCGAGCACCCCCATATTCAAAAATAAGGTGATAGTTAGTAAGATACTTGCCGTAAAGACGAGTAAACTCGTTCCCTGTTCCCTGAACCTTTTCATCTGATTAGGACTACATTTTGATGAGAAAGCAGGTGCGTTCAGTGAGATTTTACAAGAATTCCAACGTCCACCACCCTCTATAGTTAAATCCCCAATCAATAAAGTATTGATTTAAAGCCTTCAAACGAGATACTAGAAGCCAAATTTCACTTTGCTTACTTAAATTCTGCTATGTATACTTGAGTTTGGTATTGTCTCTCTCTGAAACTAGTTCATGACAAAAGTCCTCCTTGTATCCACCTACCAGACATTCATAGAGAATTTTGTCAATTGGCAGTTGTCATTAGTTGAGTGTGGATCGTTTTCTGTGGCTTTCTAGTATTCTTATTGCCTCTAACTCAAAAGAAAGCGAAAAGAACTTATATGGCACTACGATCTGTCGTATATCATCAATATTTCATATGCATGCTAATTATTGCTTAGTAGTATTTCGTTGGACAACTATAAGTTCAACTTCTACTGTCTCAATACGTCAGGAAGTATCAAGTGTTTGAAAGCACGTTTTTAAGAACAGTTATCGACTTTAATAAGCCCTTCAATTTGTTATAAAAGGTTTTGAAGTTTAGAGCTTTGTGCTATGAATTTTATCTTAGGTGAATTATACTTATTCCGACTTCCCTTAAATGGTCAATCACACCTGAATTAGTTTTTCCTACTCTTGAAGTTGAGTGGATTTCGAAAACATCGTGATTGTAGCAAGATATTTGTATGTATTTTTATAAATTCATATTTATTTGCGTTGTTTTGAAATAATTGCATCAATAGCGAAGTTCTCAATTTTTGTATCAACCAAGCTGGAGATCAATAGTTCATTTGTGAGTTCTCACAGGTTAGCGTAAGATTGGCGAGAGCGTTTGATGTTGCTGGTCAGGTTGATCGATTGTGATTGCTAACTAGATGCACTCGGTTTGACTTTAATTGAAGGGTATGAATTAGATCTCCATCAGTCAATAAAAAATTTATAAGAACAGTATTTGAAAAATTATAATAAAGAGTTATTTCAGTTTAAACTGCCGCTTAAGTAGTCAAAATGACTATAATAAATTTGCTTTATTAACGAAGTCCGATTAAACATTTTTATTTGACACTCTTGCTGTTTATATTTTTTCTGATTTCCTACTTATGAATGTGTAATGATTTGCTTAAACTAATAGATAGACTGTTTTGGATATGAAAATCAAACAAATGAACAATTTATTGATAATATCTCATCATTTTAAACACATATATGTTTTCAACACCAACAAAAGTGAAAAATAATTTGTTTAAGCAGACAATTAGCTTTAAATATCACCTTGACAGATTTGTGAGCGAGGAATGATTGGTGTAGTTTGTGGACTGATCTTATAAATTAGTTGCTTTCGAAAGAAATTTATCTTAATCATTTTAAAAGTATTAGATTATATGATATTTATTGAATCCAAATGGTTTAAAATGTTGTTGACTCATTCAAAATTTGTTGTGTTTTTGCAGAAATCTGTAATTGCCAGGCATGATTTCTGATTCCTCATGTAATTTTTCCCGTCTTACATGTGAACATTGCAAAAATATGTGCGTTATGATGACTCGAATTTAAAATATGACATACCGTATAAAAAATATCCCATTCGTCTTTCTTTAGCTACACGAATCCGCATTCTTTGGACTGTGGACACGTCTTTTGTCTTTCGCCTTGTATTTTGTCCTTTCAAACTGATGAAGGAAGCATTTACTGCAGTTCTTGTGGTTTTGCTTCTCCAATAGATGCTATAAAATTCGAAGAGAAAATTGGGAAACGTGTGCGTGATATTAAGTTGAAAAATGAGTCGGTTGAAATATCTTCCTGTTCAAATTGCCAAAGTCAAAATTGTAATGTTGGTGAGCTCTGCAAACACTGTGATCGCTATTTGTGCCCTGAATGTGCTACTTCACACAAGACTATGGTGGGGATTAACTTTGGTAGTTACCTCATTCAACTCAGAATCGACTTCTCGACAATTGTGTTTCCTACTTTTCTAGTACTCATCGGTCTTATTCAGTCGTCTGTTAGATTTGCAGTTGAGGTACAAGAATTACGTGTACCGACGAGGAGAGCTGAAGAGTGCGAAAGCGAGTGATGCTATTGAACGCCTTCAAGAATCAGTAGAAGGAGCTCTTTTGCGTGCTGAGATTTGTCTCGAGTCATTGGAAATTTTACTCAATGATCGGTCTCCGGAAACGTCCACCAAATTGGCGAAGATTACAGGACTGTTTTGTTTGAGTGAAGTAAGGTTATTGAATAAAGTTGACCATTACTGATTGCGTCCTTTTGATATGTTAACTCGGAGATATGGCTTTTCTTAAGCAAAATGGTGGCCTCTCGAAGCGTCTTTCAAATACGGCGTCGGAAATCAGTAACGGATTCTCGGGAACTTCCCCTAATCTTCCTTTAAACGTTCAGAACTTCGTGAACAGGTACCAGAAGGCCTCAATGGTGTCTAAGAGAGAGGTGTCTAGCTCTTTTGGGAGTTCACGTACTTCATCCTTAACACGAAGTATGTCACCGACTCAATCCATTAATTCTTTAGGTCAATCCGACATGGCAATATTCACTTCTGAACACTCCAAAAATGAAACGTAAGTGCTTTTTCCTGTTATGGCTATTTATTTTTACCGATTTTGAGACATTCCAGTTAAAGGCTCTTCTATTGTTTTGAGCTATGTGCCAATTTTTCCACTGAACTACTTGGTGTTATCTGTGGCTTAATGAACGCGATTCTTTGCACTTCTGATGAGTGAATGCCAAGCCTGTACCCGTTAGATGACAATTTTGTCCAGACAAGCTGTTAAGATGTGCTAAACAGTTTGCATCAGTTTGTTGATAAGGTTGTCAATCGGAATGTAAATTGTGCCCATCAAGTCAAAACATGCACTCTATCATCTTGTTTCGTGTGTGACGATTTTCATAAGGCTCCTAGTGGTTAGTGTCGCCCTGATGAGACCACTAAATTCCTTTAAATTTTCGTAATTCATACGTCCTCAAATTTCTAACGATGTTTGGTCATGTTGTAGAGAATCTTCAACTGCAATATCAGAGAGTGAGTTTTCACTGAAGCCATCAAAATCATCGTTATCCCAATCGCCCTGGTTTCAATCTCTGCAACAGTCACACATCGGCTCCATTGTATCTCACTAAGATTTAGTTTCATCTTTTTTGAGGTATCATTCTGTATTGATCAAGTTTCCATTGCCAATATGCCACGGAATGCTATAAAGTTCTCAACAATTTTGATAGGTTGCATGGGCCTAGTTATTAAGTTGAATATTCGAATATAGTTTGTGAGAGACGGGATGCATAGCTTTGAAGGTTTTGAGTGATTGGATGTATACCATAGTGAGTCATCAATTGGTCAGAATAATCAATGCAGAAGGAGAGGAGTGACTTTTCAATTGTAGAGAACAAATGTCACCTTTGTTTGCTGAGTGGGGATCGTGGATGTAGTTTGCAACTTCTGGGTGAGAATTCATAGATGAAAATTGTGGAGAGTGGTGAATTGAACTGAGAGGTTGGCTGTGTCATTTGGAAGTATCTGTCACTTTTGATTGCCAATAAGCTGACTTTTAATGTATGGACTTGATATCGTAAGAAGGATTTACAGCGTGTTTACAATTGAGATTTTGCAGATAGGCTAATTCTAATCGAATGTGTGTTATGATGGCAGTGATTTGAGCAGGCTTCTCATTAATTTAAATTTTCCTTATTCTAATTCAGGGACACCTCTGCTGATAGAAGTCGATATATTCTAATCTACCCCTCCTCCTCCTTAACCGAATCTGGATTTCCATCGATTGAAGCGATTCGGGATCATTTTCAGCAATTTGGCAAGGTTGTTCAAGTCGCCCGTTGCAAAAAGCCACTGAGAGCGTATGTAGCATTCGAGAGCCCCTCAGAAAGAATGAAAGCTTCTGAGGCGCACGAATTTCACTTGGAGGATAGGAAATTCAATGTAATTACATCCCTCATTGGAGAAATCAAGTCAGAGCATGGCATGGAGATATGGAATTCCGAAGGACCTTCTAAAACACAATTTTAGTTCATTACGCCTTAACAGAGGATGCGCTATTCAACTCTCCTCTCTTTACTGTACCACTGATTTGCCTCTCTTTGTGTGGGACCAATACATTTTTAACGAAAGAATCACGAATTCTAATGACTCCGTTGTCTAGAGCAATTTAATTCCTGTCCAATTATAACTTTAGCTGTGGTAAGTTTATTCACGACGCTCGCATTGTATAGGCTTCTGAAGGATATACTACTACCGTGCCGATTTGGCAGAGTAAAGGAACATGTAAGTTGTTGGTACTGACCCTAAAGAATGAAACGATTTAAGAGATTGACGGAGTCACATTCTCAACCCCCCTCCCCCACACACACGCACAAAACTATATAAATTTAAAAACTGAGATTTTTTAATAGATTAATAAATGAATAACCTGGGTAATTGTTTAAATTCCTCGTCGTTTTGATGTTTCTAAGTTGAAGAATGACAATATTTGATAATTTTTTGCACCTTCAGACTAAAAGACAGTTCACTGTAAAGCAACTCAAAATCGGTTAGTTAAATATTGTGACGGAAGTACATGCTGTGCAAGACATCGTGTAAAATAATCGGTTGAGCTCTTTGATGAATACGTGAATTCTGCCTTCAGTTCTAAATTTTATGGACAAATTTCTGCATGTCATACCTGCTTCTCTATACGCATTTATAAGCGAGGATGTGGATATATGAAGAATCAGTCCACCAATGCACGCCAACGCACATTGGCAGATCGTAAACAGATTTAAGAGAAGCAATAAATTCATCACAGCATGTCATTTCAATGCGAGCAGTCATCGTGTTTCCAATTTCGAATCGTCACATGTAGACTACGTAATTTGGTGTCATCTCTTGCACTTACGTAAGAACATTTTTGTTATCATTCAAGAGGACCACATCTAGTGAAAAATGTCAATCGAATTTATAAATAGCTTCGTAGCATAAGTGTGGTTAATCAATAAAATCTCATCTAGTGAATAATGAGAATTGTTTTTTAAGTTGAATCATAGCATACGCGTGCATTGGCGCTTTATTAGTGGAAACTTTCAGAGCCCACCACGAGATCTTGATGAAAATCAAATAAACGGAAATCGTTACTCTTCAGCAAACGCCTCAAATTACTAGCGTGGATGAGTATTGATTTAAAACCTTTGAATGGTACACGAATTGTCAAATTTTCTCCTGTTTACTCAAGTTCTTCGATAAATACGCTAGTTTTGTACTGCCTCTCTCTTAAATTAGATTACAACAACTGCTCACCTAGTGTCCTCTGACCAAATACTCCTACAGCACCCTGCCAATCCACAGCTCTCCCCAATTGAGTGTGGGAAGTCAAATTGGATTATCTAACACCACGAACTTATGCAGGTCTACGACATTTCGTATTTATAATAATTGGCAGACCTAGAACTTCTAGAATTTGTATTGTTCACTAGGGACATCTCTGAATTGTATTGCTTTAAATTCATATTCTCCCTATTAGTCTAATTGATTCATCCATTGATTCTTTTTAAGAATAGAATGAGTTTGTAATTTGTGTAGATTACGCGAATATGCAAATTCTCATCACTTTCCAATAGAGCCACCTTGGTCTTAGCTGACCAGTAAACATTAATTTAGTACCTTAAAATTATTCGTATTGGGTTTGCGGGGGGTCTCATTTGTCATTTGTCCGCACATTTTTAACGCTTGATCTGGTGCACCTGAGTTCTAATCCTTAGGTGTCGCTTTGCACCTGAAAACCTATTTGTAATCGAAATTCCTGTCAAATTTGTCAGCTTTTCTTTCTCAGCGTTAGTATGGAAAGGTGATGAAAGGTGGACGTTTAAGCATTTCTTTAGTAGTTGAACAGTATTGCAATTGAATTTTCTTTTGGAGTCACTGCTTTCCTGATCGTCCGCAACTTCGTTCTTAACTTTCTGCTCACTTTCACGGTCACGCCTCTTTGAACTTAAAACTCACCTCGCTATGGAGTGGTATCGGAGGACCTTTTTCACTTGTCTCATCCATAATGAGGTCTAATCAACCGAATACTCGTTGTTCTTGGAGGTGGTGTTGAAGGATAAGTTTCACCTTGGGGCTCGTTGAGATCGTTCCCTTGGTCGCCGAGTTCATTTTTATACCCAAATATATTGGACTCAAAACCTGTTGCTCTTGAGAAAGTCTCTGGGGAAATGGCTCCACTGTAATAATAAATGAAGATGAATGTAATGTTTCATTATGTAATAGCCTTATGTCGAACGCAGTGACAAATAAAGCGTTTCCTGACAATTCCACCCAGTGCACTTTAGATTTGATTATTTCTTTGCTCATTTAATACTGATGGTGTTCATTTCTTTTCCCAGGTGATTGCAATATGCTTTTCTCCTGCTGTTCAATACACACGCATGTGCTTTTACTCTTATTGAGAACTGTTGTGGGGGAGAGGAATAGGTTATTTGATAAAGAACACTCGGTTAGTATCGTCAAGTGGTCTAGGTGATGGGATTAAAATTAGTTTAGAGCCATCTGTTTGTGCTTTTATCAGTGGGGCACGTTTTCTACCAACGCCAAAGACTTGATGAATCGTATTTATACGTAGGCTTAGATAAGTCAATGAAGTGTCAAATCACTCGCCGTTTTGGACTTTGCTGTAATCTCTTTCTCAGTATTCAAGCGATCACTTACCATTTTCCCCGATGAGTTAATTATGCTTCAAGGGGTAAATATATCTCGGTCATATCTATCGCCGTTTTTTGAGTTTGCTCTTACCACTCTCCCTGGGTTTGCGTTCACTGCTTATTTACCAAGGTGGGAGAAACTAGACTCACAGGCATTAGACTGATAGAAGCGCAATAATACTGAAACGAAAGCTATGGAAATAGAGTCTTACATTTGGAATGAAGAATTGGACGACGATGGAGTTTGAAACGATTCCAATTGGAGTAAGTTCGGGAAAGATGGATTACAGGTGACGGAGGTGTGAGATTGACTGATTGATGAGGGAAACAAGTTGTGCATTTGAGCAACTGGATCTAATATTGTCCTCCAGTTGGTCAACCAGGCCATTCTCTGAGGCATTAAATTCGATGTTTGAGGTACTTCTCTTGCATGTGGCTCACACTCCTCACGCCCCAACTGCCATCCACGGAATTTCCAGTTTTTACGGAAAATGGAAATACTTGGCGTTCCGGTTGTGCTCTCTCACAAATTGCCTTGTAACACGTGACATTTCGAAAAAAACTCTAAAAACGACTTTAAACTTAGGTCAATGGTAGTTCTCAAGTGTCATTGTTTCTTTTCTTCCCATAATGCAGTCAATTTCAGTAATATGTTGTTGAAAATATTCCTGATCCAAATAGGCATTATTAGAAGTGCAAATGTTTGTTTGAGAAATTCATGTTATTAACAAATTCAGAATGGCAAATAATTGCAATTGATTGTAATTCGGTTTAATTTGGGGTTCGATGTTCAATTTTCTAAGATAAATGGAAGAGTTGAGGTCTTTAGCCAATTGATATGGATTGTGGAGAGCTCAACAAAGGGATCTCAGACATGCCATGCC